GCTGGCCCCCTCCTGGCCCCCTGGTTCATTTGGTCTAGAACCGCCGCTGTCTATTCCCCAGGCAAACAGAAAGTTGTGAATTACTAATTATAAGTCCCTGATTAAATGCATTTTTTTTATAATATTACAAATATTACAATTAAATAAATACATTTCAATTTCAAGTCTGTGTTTGTATTCCTCCAACTAGTGATGAATTTATTTTCTTATGCTTCTTTAACCAGTTGCCACTAGTTGTTGTCCATCTATTCTCAAAATCTTAAGAGGTTTCCTGCATACTTTTTGCAAAATGGCAATAACATAAATAAGAAATTTTTTTCAATACAACAAACAACTGATGTTTGAGTACTTTCCTGGCGGATAACCTTAACAAAGTGTGACATTAAGCTGTGGTCACAGAGCCACTAATGCAGCACGCTGCAGGCTCAAAGCCAGCAGCTTCAGAAGGATCGAGAAGATGACATTCAGAGATGATTAAGCTACAGCCACCAATGCCAACTAAAATGTTTCAAAAAATATATTTTGTTTAAGCTCATGTTTGAGGATAAGAATATTTAACTCAGAATAGAACGTTTGTTGTGACAGCATTGCTTTTAACTGGATCATTTTCTTCTGCAGCGTCCGTCAGATACTTACGGCTCCAAAAATACTGTTCAGAATGGAGTTGTAGACTTTATTCATGCTCTCTGTGCTTTTCTTGACCTTCTTGGAGGATTTCTTAGGTGATTCAGAAACTGAACCTGATGGAGAGTTTGTGGCTGTTCCAGCTTTCGACCCACCATCTTTGCTAAAATATTAAAGAAAACAAAACATTAAAATAAAGTTGCTTGAACTCACAAATGATATATAACTATTATAAATAATTATAGATCTGTATTATCCTAAAATAGATTATCTGTAAAAGTAGAAGCCTACCTGTCTGTTAAGGCTGAGTCTGCAGAGGTTGTAGAGGACGTCCCCTCTTCTGCTTTGGGCATGCTGCAAACAGAAGATCATGACATTAACAGCAGATACTTAGTATGAAAACAACTGAAACCTGGATAATCACTGCAGTTTGCACACCTTCAATATCTGACTTAATGTTGGGAAAAGCAGAGGAAGCTGAGACGCAGCAGCAGAGGACTTCTTTGTCCTTCTTGATCCTAAATTGTTTCAGAGACTAGTTCCTGTTAGACATGCTCCCTGTCCTCCTCTTTGACCCATCACCTTTAGAGAGGCTTAATGCAGGATTACCTGGCTAAACAGTCAGGAAGCAAACCGTGCAACAGCAACATCCTTCCATCCTTCAACTCTGTGTATCCATTCTCATTTATCCTACATTTGTTGGTGCCTTTTAAAATAATGAAAAAAGGCCTTTATGAGTTGCTTTAAGCCCTGCTATCAAAAAAACAAACAAATTAAATAAACATAGTAATGTCTCTGGAAACCTGCCCTCTTTCTTCTTCATTGTAGTGAATATGAACAAATCTTGGTCTAATTAAGAATTTCGTCAGTGATTTTTTTCCTCTGCTGATATCCACCAATTTTTTTTTTTTTTTTTGCAGACATCAGGAGGTCTATTGCATAATCTTCCCAGGACCTTCAATCCCTCATCTTCCTAGAAACCCTAGAGTTCATTTAAATCTCTTCATTTTAGCCAATCTTTGCAGTTCACAGAGTTAAATCTTTGTCCTGCTCTAAGAATTAACTTCTTTCAAGGAGATATTGTGCTTTTCCAAATGGAAAGCAGTCTGTTTCTATTGATTTGTAGAATATCTATAACTTATTTCCCCCCATGTGTAATAATCAGAGATGGGAAGTAACGAAGTACAAATACTTCGTTCCTGTACTCAAGTAGATTTTTCTGATA